CACACACACACACACAGAATATTCACATTCTGTGCACTATATATAATTTATTTTAAAGGAATTAGTACTTTTATTCAAGAATGCATTAAATTGATCAAAAGTGACAGTAAAGACATTTATAATGTTACAAAAGATTTCCATTTCAAATAAATGCTGTTCTTTTGAACTTTCTGTTCATCTGTGAATCCTGAAAAATAAAATGTAACACGGTTTCCACAAAAATATTGTGCAGCACAACAGTTTTCAACATTGATAATAATCAAGAATGTTTCTTGAGCAGCAAAGCAGCATATTAGAATGATTTCTGAAGATCATGTGACACTGAAGACTGGAGTAATGATGCTGAAAATACAGCTGCGCATCACAGCAATAAATTACAGTTTAACAGATATTCACATAGAAAACAGCTATATTGTAAAAATATTTCATTTTTTACTATATTTTTGATTAGATAAATGCAGCCTTGGTGAGCAGAAGAGACTTCATTCAGAAAATCTTACCGTCATGTAAATGTTGTTGTGTGTGAGCAGGACGATGCTGTGATGGACACTAACATGGCGTGTGAGATGAAAGATGGTGTTGAATCAGAAAACACACACAATAGCACAGCAGCAGAGGCTGAGGTGAATCTCTCTCTCTCTCACACACACACACGACATACCAAAATTACCTTCAGCTGATACATTGTGTCTCGTTTCCTCTGTTACAGGTGGATCATCTCCATGGTAACAACCTCATACATACTTAAAAAAAAAAAAGAAATTGCATTTATTTAGCATTAAAATGATCAAAAGGGACAGAAAAGACAGTTATAATGTTACAAAAGATTTCTATTTCAAATAAATGCTGTAAATGTTGAGTGTAACAGCTGATTGTTTCTGACCGTGTGTACAGTAGATGACAGCTGGCAGTAGTCTGATGAATCTCTGCGGAGGCGCAGAAGAAGAGAAACCCTGATCACCACCACAAACCTCAACACCAAGACCAGACCAGACCAGACCAGACCACCTTCTCTCAGCATCTTCCGTCTAGTTCTTAGTGGCGCTGACCAAGTCAACCATAAATATCACTTAGTCCTCATATTTTAGTGTTAGCCTCATGCTGAAACCTCTAGTTTACATGCACTCAGTTTTGTCAATCCGAATCAGTCCAGTCCGATTTCAGATTCTGAAAGTTGTTTATATGAACTTTTGCAGTTTAACTTTCATATGAACGCTAAACTCTGCGATTCACATATTCATTTACGTGTAGGTTATATTTATGTTAATGTTACAAAAGATTTCTATTTCAAATAAATGCTGTAAATGTTGAGTGTAACAGCTGATTGTTTCTGACCGTGTGTACAGTAGATGACAGCTGGCAGTAGTCTGATGAATCTCTGCGGAGGCGCAGAAGAAGAGAAACCCTGATCACCACCACAAACCTCAACACCAAGACCAGACCAGACCAGACCAGACCACCTTCTCTCAGCATCTTCCGTCTAGTTCTTAGTGGCGCTGACCAAGTCAACCATAAATATCACTTAGTCCTCATATTTTAGTGTTAGCCTCATGCTGAAACCTCTAGTTTACATGCACTCAGTTTTGTCAATCCGAATCAGTCCAGTCCGATTTCAGATTCTGAAAGTTGTTTATATGAACTTTTGCAGTTTAACTTTCATATGAACGCTAAACTCTGCGATTCACATATTCATTTACGTGTAGGTTATATTTATGTATTCCAAACAACAGACACCAAGTTCAGAACTGGAAAAAGCCACTAATGTCACCAGAGCTAACTAGAGTTTAATTGTCAAGTATGTCAGGAGAGCTTCTTTTTTTTTTAAGCAAATATTCAGTAAATATTCATTCTCCTCCACTGACCAGCTAACAAAAATATGTTTTAAGAATGATTTAGTAACGTTACGTTATAAAAAGATAATTTCTGAATGTTCTCTGAACATTCAAAACTTCCAGATTTTTAAATGTTTTAATTTTTTTTCTTGGTTTTGCGAATGTTATTTTGCAACCATTATGGGAACGTTACTTTTGAATGTTCTCTGAACGTTCTGAAACAAGTAGTAACATTTAAAAAACATTAGATGAACATCCAACTAAAATGTTTCAGAAATGTTTCATGAACGATGTATAAATACCCAGAAAATATGTTCTAAGAACGTTTTCCTAATGTTTCCATCATATTATGAACATCCTTTTTTTTTTTTTTTTTTTTAATGTTTAGAAATGTTTTTCTTGGTTCTATTTTATCATTATGACAGTGTTACTTTTGAATGTTCTCTGAACATTCTAAAACTAGTAACATTTTAAAAACTTAAGATACATGTCAAACTAAAACGTTTCAGAAAAAAACAAAGTTCCAGGAACGGAGTATAAATAATGTTTCTGTGCCAAAGTTTTAAGAACATTCTTAAAGACTTTGAGTGAACATTCTATTAACGTTACAGGAAGAATGTTCATAAGCTTGCGAGAACCTTAACCAAAGTTGCGAGAACGTTAGCTGGGTTCATTCGTTCGCAGGAGGTAAATAAATAAGCACGTTTGTAAAACATATGTAAAACAGAGATCTACTATAAGATGCATCTCGGCACTTTCAAATTATTTTTGAATCAGTGTTGCCAAGTCTGCGGTTTTCCCGTAGAATTGGGCTACTTTAACACTGTTGCCGCGGGTTGTTTTTCATGTCCGCGGATTGAAGCGACCCCAAAAACGTAATATTTAGCCCCTGGAAGGTGAATTTTACTGGAAGATCCCCATCGAAAAACGTGTATTTACCTCCCGGAATGCGATTTTTACCGGGGAACCCCCCTCGAAACGCGATTGTGCTAGTTTTGGGCTAGTTTTAAGTAGCAATTGGTTGGGTTTTGTTGCGAAAACCTGGCAACCCTGTTCTGAATCTGTTCTCGGCACATTCAAAAAAAATTTTTGAATCCGTTCGAAAAAATAATAGTAGGCTATTAGAGCGATTGCACGCTTATGTTTTCCCCCTGCATATTATTTTAGGTCTGCAGCACCCCTTATTACAATCAGATCGAAATTTCATTCGGACTGACTGAGAGAGGTACATGGTAATAACGGGTTATTTGAGTGCATGTAAACGTGTTCTTCAGATCATGTAGAATCTAGTGGTCCGCGTTCATTTTCTCCCGTTCTGGTCTGTGTTTGTACGCAGGGCTTCAACTAAACCAGCGACCTCGACTTTTACTGCACTGTGTCCTGAACCTGGTCCTCTTTCTCTCTTTCTCTGTACATATGTGTCAATGTTTGTGTCTGATCGGGTGCATCATTAGAGTCTCATTTCAGACATCTTTATACCTGAACGCGTTTAAGAACGCGCGACCGTCTGGAACTGAATGAGAACGAGACGTTTCAATTGTGTTGCTGGGTGTTTCTTTACGTCTGATTTGTGTGGCCAAATGTGTTACGAGTCTGATGTAGTGTTATGACTTCGCTTTACACCAAAACTTCGGCCTTTACTGAATGAGTGTGTGTGTTTATCTCCATGAAATGCCTCCTTTTTTTAGAAGAACTGTTCATTTAATTTGATCTGAACGGTCGCTTGTGGTATCAACGGTATTAACTTTTGTACGATGGCTGTTCGGGGCCTAAAGCTCCTCGTAATTATTCTAATTATGGATTTATTTCATGTTTTGTTTTGTATTGCAACAATACATCATTAGTAGCTGAACGCGACTCTGTTTTATTGCATGTGAATGGTGGCTGAAATGAAACCGAACGCTGAGAGTGTCACAAATTTAAGCGTGAATCCACTTTTTTGGTTTCATTTTTGTATGCAACGTTGACCGAAATAAACGAGACACTTGGTATATTTACCTTACGGCAAATTTCCGCGGGCAAGAAATGCGCTCATGAATACGATCGAGAATTTCGCGCGAGGGACACGTGACACGTCAAATTCGGGCTTTTTTAAACTTTTAATAATTTTATTAATTATTAAAAGTAAAAAAAAAATGTTTTTTTTTAAATTTTGCAATATCCATACTTTCCCCCGAAATTTCACAGATTGTCGCTAATGTGACCGCGCGTCAAAATCACTGAAGCCTATTTATGGGATGGGATGGTATAATTGCAGCATTGTCGTCATGAGAAGTTGATAATGCTGGATTTTCTTTGACTTACAGCTTTTGAAATTGGGGGTATCAATTAAAGAAACATTACAGAAAACGTGTCTGGTTTTTAATTTTAAGTTTGTACACATTTTGTGTAGTAGAACTTAATAAAAAACAATATTAGTTATGTGGTTTCAGCAGCTGTCTATGGTGGATAACCAAGATAAGTCATCGGTCATGTACTGTACTGTACTGTACATAAATTTGGGGTCAGTAAGAATTTTTTTTGTTCATCAGGGACGCATAACATTGATGAAATTGACAGTAAAGACATTTATAATGTTGCAAAAGATTTCTATTTCTTTCTATTCATCTGTGAATCCTGAAAATGCTTCATGGTTTTCAACATTGATGATAATCAGAAATGTTTCTTGAGCAGCAAATCAGCATATTAGAATGATTTCTGAAGATCATGTGACACTGAAGACTGGAGTAATGATGCTGAAAATACAGCTGCGCATCACAGAAATACATTACAGTCTAACAGATACATTTTTCACATAGAAAACAGCTATTTTAAATTGAAATAATATTTCACAATTTTGCAGTATTTCCAATCAAATAAATGCAGCCTTGGTGCGCAGAAGGGACTTCCATCAAATTTCACATTTTTTACTGTATTTTTGATCAAATAAATGCAGCCTCGGTGAGCAGAGAAGAGACTTCAAAAACATTAAAAGTCTTACCGACCACAAACTTTGGCCACTTTTATAATTAATATACATTTTACTAGTTATTCCAAGCTCTACAATATTTTATCATGTTGAAATTGTGAGTAAAAAAATATTTTTATGAATCCTTATCCAGTAAATAATGAATTCCTGGTCATGTAAATCTGTTTAAAAAGGGTGGAAAAATGGAAACTGACTGTCTAGAATCCTGTAACTGAATGTACAGAAAGAGTCAAAAAACTGCTGTGCTCGAAGGAAAGCTTGACTTGATAAAAGAAAAGACAGAACAATGCTTAATAACTGATCAGTTTAATGTGGGTTAAAACTGTAAACAAGTTCATCTGGCCACATACACACACGTCAGTACAGTACAGGAGATCCCCTCACTAACCTCGTTTAACTGTATTACATCTAATTAAGGCAAATGCAGAAACACTCATCAGGCACATGACAGGACGGCCCGTGTGTTCAGGGGTCCAGCAGCACTTGGATGTAGTTTTTGGGAATGATGCCACGTTTCCCTCCGGATTCTCCGAGGAACCACTCAGCATCCATGTCCTCCAAACCACACACCACATCTCCTGCCTGCACACACACAAACACACACACGTTTAGACCAATTAATTTCCATGACATAAAACCCATATTTAACCAAATATTTAAAAACATTGTATTTAAATTAGTATTATTAAATATCACTTATTTGTTATATGATAAAATATTAATTAATTAATCAATCATTATATTTGAATATATAAATTATATTTTTAATAATATTTATATTTAATAATTATATTATAATTCTTATATAATACACACACATATATATATATATATATATATATATACAGTAGAAATTTTAATTTTACATTTGATTTATTTTATACTAATTGTATATTTTATTAACTACATTTCTAATTTTTGTTACTAAAATAAGTAAAACTAAATAAACAGATACTACAACTTATTAAAAACTATATAGATAAATAAACAAGAAGTAATAAAACAAACAAAAAAATAACAAAATTAAAATGAAAACAAATAGACAATATATGACCTAATTTAACATATTAACAAATCATTAGTTATATATATATATATAATTACAACAGATAAATATAATTACAATATATTTACAATATTGAATTGTTTTAGAATTCCATATTTTATATATATTAATATCGTTTTAGATATTAACTAAAATAATTTTAATATTTTATTGTGTGTATATATACATATTAACTATATACTGTATGCACATATAATTACAATATTTAATTGTTTTTATTATTTAATAAAATATATATATATATTTATGAGGCGTTTAATTGCAAAAACAGATAACGTTTTTATAAATTTTCTTAAATCCGTGTTTTTATTGTGTTAGCTGTATTTCTTTTTTTTTAGTTATTATTTAATCAAAACAACCCAACTGCAGTTTGATTGATATCAATTAGAATGCAGGATAAAAAATTTAAAAAAAGATTTTTGAACATTTTTAAAAACTGAGTTATCAAATGAACTCTTCATTGATTGATATTAATTGGAATGCAGGACAAAAAAACATGATTTTGAGTTATGTTTTTGCATATGAACTCTTCACACACACACACACACACACATATATATATTTATTTATTTATTCCTTCAAATATATCTTAATCTTATAAATATATAAAATATATATTTAATAAAATTATTATGTTTATTTATTTATTTGTTGGTAGGCACCATATTTTTATGATTTTTTTCCATGAATTTCCCAGGCCTGGAAATCAGGATTTATTAAATTCCTATAGATTTCCAGGTTTTCATGACTGTGCCACAGTGAATCTCCCACAGACCTTCAGACAGAGCTCGTCCTCACACTCGGGAGTGAAATCATAAAGTGCTCGTCCTCTGATTCTCGCTCCTGCAGGGGGCGCTGGAGAGAAAGAGACGGCCTGTCAATCAATACAGTCTACAGATGCATGATATATCTATGAGCATAATAAAAATACAGTGTAGACTGACATTATGAGCCATAACATAAAACACTGGCCAGTCTCGGTCACGCTCACTGCTGATTGGTCCGTGGTTAATGAATATTCAGAGGGAGAATGTTTATTTACCAGGAGATTCCAGAGCCTGTTTCCTTGGCAACGCTTCAGTTTCCTCTATAGCCTGGATGAAGCTGAGGGGGAAGATTCCCGGCTGTCCGTTCAGGAGGCCACGCCCCCACTCCTCATTTACATATTCCATTAGAGTGATGACATCACCCTCAGTGAAGGACAGCTCCCCCTCCTCCCCCTCGAATGCAAAACGAGCCACGACGCACCTGGACAGAGCAACACAGGAGCTGATTGTTAGGAATTATGCTAGTTTTACTGGCATCAGTTTTGTGAAATTTGTGACTGACATTGTTTTTAATGACCAATGAATTTCCATGACTAAAACCTAATTTCCATAGACAAATGTTTAACCTTTCATATGTATACCTAAATAACATATTTTATATATATATACAGTGGGTACGGAAAGTATTCAGACCCCCTTCAATTTTTCACTCTTTGTTATATTATTTATGTTTACATATTATATGTACTGTGTACTGTGTTTATTTATTATGTATATATAAATACACACACAGTATATTTTGAAAATATTTACATTTATATGATTATATTTTATAATATATAAAAAATATATTTAATATATAAACATAACAATTTTCTTAAATATATACCAAGTATGTGTGTGTGTGTGAGTGTGAGTGTGTGTGTATGTGTACACTGACATGCAAATACGTTTCCTCAGGTGCGTTCTCTTGCTCTTTGCTGGTATTCTCCAGCTCTGCATCTCCTTGAAGAACTTTGCACTAATGCACAAACACACAAAGCAGCTGCTGTTTACATGGCTGTTTTATTTATAGACCTCCTGGGATTTTTTCTCACATTCAACTGAAATAACATTTAAAGGGGCAGTTCACTCATAAATAAACATCCCGTCATCATTTTCTCACCCTCTCTCTTCTGTGCAGCTCAAAGATGTTAGGTATAATGTGCGAGCTGCTGTTTTCAAAAGTGCATGGTGATTTATACAATCACACAGATGGACCGTTACATATGACCTGTGCACTAAATTCATGCAAGAGCATATGAGGCTTTGTTTAAGAAACAGAGTTCACTGAAAATCACACCTGCTGGAACTTTTTTTTTTTTAATTGCAGCATCATAATTGGTCACATGACATGCGAGAACCAAAGACAGTTGGCCAAAGGCATGTCTAAAGGTGTCGTTTTATATTTGAACAAACAGCAACAAGAAAAGAAATTAGAAGACTTAAGAACTTAAACTTCATACTAAGAACTGTTATACTAATATAGTATTTATTAATATTCCAAATTTTATTTTTAGTAATTTAATTTTTTTATATTTTGATATAGTCATTTTATTTTTATTTCAGTTTCAGTTTAAAAAAGAAAGTCATACAGGTTTATAATGACAGGATGGTCAGAAAATTATGAAAATCTTAACCCTTAAATAACACACAGGACATTTTCCTGGTGTTCTTCTCAAATACGCTATGTATGTATGAAGACTCACAGAATAGCGCTTGTAAAGCGGATGTCCTGGTTTGGGGCGGGGAGGGAGGGTGGCACCCTGCTGCCTGGCAGCTGATTGGTCACAGCAGGGGAGGAGGAGGAGCCTGGAAGTTTGGCCACTTTGATTGGAGGAGGGCGGAGTGGGAGGAGTTTGCTGCCACTGGGTCTGAGACACAAAGAGAAAGAATGAGAGATGGGAAAAAAACAAAACAGACACCTAATTTTGGAGAAAAAACGCTGCAGTACCTCGGAGGAAGAGAAGGAATGGAGGCGTCAGGAGCTCTGAAAACATCCACCGTGGCCTGAACACACACACACACACCATCATCATCAACATTAAACACTCATTCTAATAGGCAAACTTCATGATAAAGGTGGTTTATAAAGCAGGTATAACTCACCTGTGAGGTGGACGGTGTCTTTCTGAGCACAGGTGGAGGTGGACGGGAGTGTTTGGGGACCGACGGACCTACATAAAAACACAGACACTCATTAAACATTTACATTAAACTGTGCAAAATTAAGTTTTGATTGAGACAATTAGCAGCAATTAAGGCTGCATGATTAACCGAAATTATGACATGACTTGTGATGATCAAATCACAAAGACTGTGATTTAATTAAATTAATAAATGTGATGCGTTTCATAGTGAAGCGCGGCACTGTGTTCATTTACACACAAAACGCTCCAGTGTTTTCAGAGTCTCAGTTCACAGTAAATGCTGCTTCAAATGATCTTATCTCTGCATTTGCTCTGAGTTTGAGTCACTTACAGTATAACGTGCAATAACATGCGCCAAATACCTTCACAAACTCGTAATGAGAAATATGTATAAACCGGCTGTTATGCACAAAAGAGAAGCTTTAATGGATCCTTGCGGCTTTAAACCAAAATAAAAGCTTCATAATTAAATGCTTGAAAATAAAGAAATTAACACAGCCATAAATATTATGTAATTTTATATTTGTACTGTAAAATTGACTTCTTCTTATATTTCATTTAACAGTGAAATATTAGAGGAGCCCAGCGTTCGTCCCAGACCTTTGCTCCAGAGTCGCCATACGACCCTTTAGAATTTTGTCGAATATTCTAATTTAGTAACAATACAAATAAAAATAATTCTAATTATTATTATTACATTATAGTAACACTGATATACAATGACATATTTTTGTGGCTGGTCCAGAACGTCCTCGTTGGGTCGTAGGGCGACTCTGGAGCGCGGCCGAGGTCTGGGACGAACACTCGGCTCCTCTTTCATCGGGTTGCCTGCGGAATCGAGGTTGATCTGGGTGGAAGTGGTGACAGTGGGGGCGGGGCCTATGGGAGAGATGTCATCGATGATGTCATCGAAGTCCGTCTGGACACCACACTGTTCGCGCAGAGCCTCTCGAGGCTGAGCACCGGCATTTGTATTAGACCAGTCCACTTCAGGCATGTGTTTGAGGGGCAGTGAGGGCCGCGGGGGTTTGGAGTGCCTACGAACTACAGGAAAAAATTAAAGGAGACATATTATGCCCATTTTTACAATATGTAATATAAGTCTCTGGTGTCCCCAGAATGTGTCTGTGAAA